TGTGTGTAGAGGAGGTGATAGTAAATTCTTTTGCTGCAGAAATTATTGCTATCTGCTGAATGCATAGCTAGGTTAGTATTACCGATACTCTCAATAGATTGTGTGCTTTGGTTGCAGGTAACTTATGTTCTGCTTTTCAAGGCTTGGCTAGTAAACTGCATCTACTAAGCATGTATGTTGCAAAACAAAATAAACAGATACCTTGCACAGGAAAAAAAAGCAAAGTGAAATTAAATAACAACTTGCTGTAGGCATCTATACAATACTGATTTCAATCACTTAAAGGTATCTTATTTATATTGACATGCATTGATGTCAAATAGGCTGAAATTTATTACTGCTTTTAAGTCCCTTAAATGTTCAAATATACTCCTTTCATGTCCCTTACAGATCCTGTTGTGATAATGCAAGTCATCCATCCAGATGGCAACCGCTGCCTTTTAGGTAGGCAGAAGAGGTTTCCCTCAGGAATGTTTACCTGTCTTGCTGGATTTGTAGAACCTGGTGAGTAGTTCCATTTTCCCTTACCAAATGGATTTTCTCACATATCAGTATTGTACCTTGAAAGTAATATAGAAATATGTTTGGTGTTATGGGAAATAAATGTTTTTACTTCCTGTTAGATAAGTTGTTATAATAAAAATGCCTATTCTGTACTTTCCAGCAGTTGATTTATTAAAAAAAAAAAAGAAAAAAAACAACTTGAGTAAATAAAATTTAAATTTAGTTTTCTTATCATGCACTCTTAAATCACATATTTAAGTGAAAAAACATTTTGAAAACACTTACAAGGTCCTTTCTTTGGTGATACTTAGCAAGGGATTTTAGCATAGGACAAATAGGAGTTAAAGTATAACTTAAAGTTAACATAAAGTTAAGCATATGCTTATGTGTTTAGGACCTGATTGATTATATGGAAGATAAGCAGAAATTGTATCATTTTGAAAGAGATATTTTGCTGGCTGTGTTCAGCAGTAGTAGCTGGAATTACTTAGTAGCTGCAGAACAATTTGCAAAACATTCTCATATTTGGAATACATCTTAATCACCAGTGAAATTATAGCGTATATATTCGGTAACTGTGTGTAGGTGAAATATGGTGACAGCATGAATAAGTTTATTCAGGTGTCATTTGAAAAAACTCAAGAAGTTTATTTCTTCACTTCTTTGTTTCTCCTGCCAGCCTTACTACTTTCTGATACTCAATTCAAGTATATAAACTGAAATTTAAATGTGGCTGATCATCTTATTAGCTTCTAATCGGCTGAACGTAGCTGTTCTCTCTCTGTCTGATTTAATGAACCTGTAATCCATGGTTACAACACAGTACATGTAGGCATATGTAAGCCTATGACCATCAACATTCCATGTATACATCTAGCAATTTTCCATGAATATGGAAGTAAAGCTTTCCATTGCAGTGTAAGTTTGGAGAATTGTCTGTATGTGAATACAATGAATGAGTCAGGCAAAGTGAATAATACAATGCAGAAATGTGTGCAAGTCGTCTTAAGTCTCTTTTTTTTACTGTTGTCATTTTAAATACTGATTTTTCAAGTTGTATTACATGCTGTTACAATCATACTTAAAATCTAAAAATTAATGCTATTTATAAACAAACAGCATTTCAGAAGTAATTAAAGGAACAATCTATTTCCTACCCAATTTTTGACATTTTAGGTGTGGTAATAATAGTTTGTGTTTATAATAAATTATCAATTCAGGAAATAAAAATTACATTGGAGAAATCATCATACTTTGAAAATAAAGTTCCATTTTGCTTCAGTGGCTAGTTTTACCTTACTAGATGTCAGTATCTTGTACTTAAGGTCTGTGCCTGGATCTGTGACCTAGATCTCTATAGATAATTGTCTGGGTGTCGTGGTTGTCCTGGTTCTGGCAAGGATAGAGTTAATTTCACAAGGAGCCAGGACAGGTGAGCCAAGCCATTCCATACCATGTGATGCTCACCATAAAAGGGGGCTAGTCTAGTCGGGCAGGGGCAGGCTCGGCGTGGCTCCGGGACAGGCTGAGCATCTGGTCAGTGGTGGGATCGGTAAATCGTCCTCTGTTATCACCCATTGTTACTATCTGTTATCGCTACTGTTGTTGATTGTTTCCCTCTCCCTTGCTGTCCCAGTAAACTGCCCTTATCCCAACCCTCGAGGCTTTGCCGTTGTTTTTCCGTTCTCCTCCCCATCCCGCTGGGGGAGGGGTGAGCGAGCAGCGCGTGGCACTTAGCTACCGGCTGGGGCTAAACCACGTCATTGGTTTTACCCCAGCTGGCAGCTGACCACCACACAGCCACTTGCTCACTCCCCCTCATCGGGATGGAGGAGAGAACTGGAAAAGTTAAAGTGAGAAAACTCCTGGGTTGAGATAAAGACCGTTTAATAGGTAAAGCAAAAGCTGCGTACACAAGCAAAGCATGGAATTCATTCACCACTTCCCGTGGGCTGGCAGGTGTTCAGCCATCTCCAGGAAAGCAGGGCTCTGTCACACGTAACGGTTACTTGGGAAGACAAACGCCGTCACTCTGAACACTGCCACCTTCCCCCAGGCTCCTTATAAACTTAGCATGATGTCATATGGTGTGGAATATCCCTTTGGTCAGTTTGGGTCACCTGTCCTGTCTGTGTCTCCTCCCAGCTTCTTGTGCACCCCCAGCCATCCTGCTGGCAGGGCAGTGCAAGAAGCAGAAAAGGCCTTGGCCCCGTGTAAGCACTGCTCAACAACAGGTCCATAGAACAAAAACATCTCTATATTATCAATGCTGTCTCCAGCACAAATCCAAAACATATCCCCACACTAGCTACTATGAAGAAAATCAATCCTGTCAGCTGCAACCAGGACACTAGGGCAGTTTCAAATCTTTTGAGTCAGTTCAAAACACAGGATGTAATCATTGCTTGCAGTATTTTCATCTGCTGCTTGTTCTTTGCCCTTTTTGATCAGGCGAAACAATAGAAGATGCTGTTCGAAGAGAAGTAGAAGAGGAGGCTGGAGTGAAAGTTGGCCATGTTCAGTATGTCTCTTGTCAACCATGGCCAATGCCCTCCTCCCTGATGATTGGCTGCTTAGCTGTTGCGGTGTCTACAGAAATTAGAGTTGACAAGAATGAAATAGAGGATGCCCGCTGGTTTACTAGAGAACAGGTAAAGTTCAATTTAATTTCCGTCTTGTATTGATTAGTCTGTGACTGTATTGGTATTGGCATACAATACATACTTGCTTTTTCCAGCAAGTTGAATGAGTACATATACTCTTAGTTTTATCATACTGCTACAATTGCTTTATATTGTAATTGTAGATGACACACAAGCAGAGAAAAGCAGATATTCACGATAATTTCTGAGTCACTGGTCCATTTTATGACGTTTTTGCTAGTTAGCTCTTCATCTTTTCCTTATGGGAGATATCCAAGTTATTGTTATTTTAACCCACTTTCCTAGTAAGCCTGCGCTTTTCGTTTTGGCAGAAGTAGTATTTAATAGCATTCATCATCTGAGTTTCTCCAAACAAGCATGCTACAAGATTTGCTGGGGGGCGGGGGGGGAAGGTTTAGGTAAAAACTCTGGGAATTGATTAGTTTGAACTTTTTCCATGCAGTATGATTTTAATACTCTGGTATTAAATGCAGTTACTATGCATTAATAGGAAATTCTGCACTAAGCTTTCCTGAGTATTTAAAATACAGTCAAATAAAAGAGGGGAAAAAGACACTCATAGAAAGAGATATAAGTTCATGAGTGGAAAAAGGAAAGATTGCTGACACAACATAAACTTCACAGGTTTTTCCACAGGCTACTTATGAGCTAAACTTTTAATAACACTGTACTTCTGCCTAGCAGTTGCATGTCAACTGTGGAAGTCAATTGGAAGGCAAAGTTAGTCACCTACTATCTCAGTGTATTCCTGACAAAAATGACAGCATTATTTTAAATGAGTACCAGTTCTGAATACAGCTAGTCACATGCAGATTGGTCTAGACTTGGAAATAAATGTACTTCAGAAATATACTAAACTAAAAGCGTACTTCCATGTTGTTAGCAACTGCTTCAGAAAAACAACAAAACACATTTCCTTCTGCACTACATGTGGGAAAAAAAAAAGAATATTTTATGGAACAGTGTAGAGCACCATCTGGTGGTCCTTACCATAAGGAGGCTTCACAAAAACCTTTACTAATATCAACAGTCAGTCTCCACAGTTTTAATAGAAAGTATCCTTTGGGGCACATTTGAGCTCAAAAATGTCAGAATTCACACAGAATACGGTGTGGGTTTTTCTCTCCATCTGTCTTGGAGAATCTGGTAGTAGCTTTTTAATAGCTATAGTAATAATAGACTGATAATCATAATAAGGTAATTCCTGCATTAATACAATGTTACATTCCATATAGTTTATAATATTGTCTTCTAAAGAAACAAAATCTGTCTTTATTACAGGTCATCGAAGTTCTCATCAAAGGAAATCAGCGTTCTTTTTTTGTACCACCAAGTCAAGCTATTGCACACCAGTTGATAAAACATTGGATTGGAATGAATGCTAATCTTTAATTCAAATAATTGATTTCTTTAAGTTAAATTATGTTCTCTAGTAAATGCTAAATTAGGAATAAATTACAAATAATTATCTAGTAAATGTGCAACCACATGAATCTTTGAGCCTTTCCTTTGTTTCCTGAGCTAAACTATGCAAACCTGTGTAGCTGTTTTCAGATCTGAGTTAGAACTCAACAGCAATGCAGTGATCACCCCAAGCAAGCAAGCAAGCAAGCAATAGGTAAAATTGGTACATTGTTGGGCACAGGCTGCTTTTTCGTTTTAGAATCAAATTATTGTGCCTTTAGCTATTATGCTCTTAATGTTTGATTTGGTCTTTCATGTCCCCCACTGGAAGGAGTCATAGAATCATAGAATGGTTAGGGTTGGAAGGGACCTCAAAGATCATCTAGTTCCAGCCCCCCTGTTGCGGGCAGGGATGCCCTCCACAAAGGAATGACACAACATAAGGGACATCTCACATCCCTGCTCTACATATCTCATTCCCTAGTCTTCAGAGTCATAATTGTGTCTTTCCGACATCGGTAGAAGTCTTGTTAAAACTAAGAGGTTCATTCTTTGTAGACCAGATTTCAAAGCCTGATTACTTCTTGAAAATATGTTCTTCATCACTGCACAATTTCAAAGTAGTGCAATATTGCCATGATGTGCTGAGGCATGAACACATAGCCTGTGTACAGTGCCATTCCAACAAGGGAAACTAGCATAGAATTGAAGACGGTGCGCTCCCAGGGCTCCAGTGTGTAGAGCACGGTGACCAGCAGATACTGGTAGTACAGCCACGACATCTGCTTCCAGGCCAAGCCCAACACCATGGCGCGGTCCACGCTCTCCCCGCCAACGTTACAAAGAGGCCTGACCTTGCCTGCTGTTTAAATTCTGTGTTTACATCCTCTTGTTTTGTCTTAATTATTTCTTCCTCATTTTTTCCTGCCTCCATTCTTTAAATTCTGCCTGGCACAAAAATCAACATTCAGTGCTGAAAGCCTTATCAACAATGGTTGTTTTTAAGCTAATAGCATACTTAAATGGTGAGTACATAGTATTTTGTATCTTTTACGTTAATAGCCCTCTAAGTAGAATATTTACTCCTCCAGTCTGATTTGGCCTGCACTTACCCAATTGTACATCAGCCTGAATTTAAACTTGTAACACAATACTCTGCTTATGAAAAAAGTATTGGAGAACCATCCCAAAAAGCCTAAATATTAGAGATTTTTATAAGATAATAATGTACTTATTGACCCGAGACAGTGAGTTATTTCATTCTGTGATAATTAGAAATGGAACTGTAGAGTGATGGAGGAGAAAAGTAGATTAATTAAACAAGACATAGTATCTCAAAATACGTACATTGGAGACACTAAGATTGTTACTGCTATTAAGAATTTTACAGTTGAAAGAAATATATCAACCCCAGCTGTAAGACTGGGAAAGCAATATATGAATTAAAATATTTAATTATGTATATTTAATGTTACAGTCCGGATTTGTGCCTTAATTTATTGTGTTATTTGTATTCTTTCAAAATGGAAGGTTCTAAAAGTATACTGGTTTTATTATTAATGTCATTATGTAATGATTCAGTAGCAGTCATTGCAGTGATATAAAAAGAAATGCAAATGACCAGAAGGAAATACAGTGATAGTCATAAATACTAACTTTCTATCATACGGTAGTTTGTTTATTCAGAGTAATTTAAATATTTTTAAATCAATGAAAGATGTCAGATTTGTTTCAATATTCTCTGCAAACTGGAATGAGTAAAAATGTTTTATAAATCCTTACAGTTCTTTCTTTTCATCCAGTGTTATACTGTGCTCCACAGGATTTTTATTTTTTTTATTTTTTTTTTAAAGACAGTGCATATCAAACTTTAAAGCAAGAAGCATTTCTGACGGTCTTGGAACAGCTGACAAACCACTACGTTGCTTCATTCTCTCCCTTGTTTCAGCTATACCTACAAATGAAGAAAATCATGTTATCTGTTGAGCTATCTGGAAATGAGAAGGAAGCAATACACTGCTTCCCTTAAAAATTGGTTTTGCAGAGAAGGGGAAGTATGAAAAGATGTCATGGACCACAGCTACCAGCAGGATTACATGTTGTCAGTGGAATTATTCTTTTAAAAAAATTTTGGGGCAGAAGGAAGCCTTATTGCAGGTTGTTCATACAAGTTAAGGAGAACATTGGACAGTATGCGAATAATAGTGGAAGATAAGCAATGGAAGGAATTTTTAAGTACTTGTATGATGATTACACATTAAGAAAGGTGAACAGGGAAGGAATGAGGAGCAGATGGAGGAGAGAGGATAAAGCAAAGAGCAAATACAGATAGCGTAAAGATAAATAATTTATCACATTGAGGTAACTAAAAATACATGTATAAGACCCATTCTAATGTTTTTCATGTAGGGAGTTATGTTGGGTTTCTATAGATATGGGTTTGTAACTGTGAAACTCAGAAAAAAGGTATCCATAACCAATACTGATACTAAGAATCTGACTTTTTTAATTGAAAATCTATATAAACAATATATATATATGCAATTACAATGCTAATAAATAATTTGAAAAATTTCATTTTACTGCATGACACAAGCAGAAAAAGGATAGTTAGAAAAAGAAAACAACACTAATGATCTCTGAGAGTAACATTTTCATGATGTTTCAGTTCTGATAACATCTGGTGTTGCAACAATTTTTATTATATATAAATTTTCAAAAGCTGAACCAACAGTCCTTTTTTAAGCTTCTCTTTTTCCCTCCCTAAGAGATAAACCATTCACAGAGAAGATGACAAACACCCCTTGTTTAAGAAAACTAATTTGATAACTTTAACCTGTTATTAATAGTGAAATTTTTCCTTTTTTTGCTTAATTTGATGACTTTGTAGGTTGTAGGATTGAGTTTTAGTTTAAAAATATCTATCCATAGAAATTTTCTGAAGGATAGTTATTGTTTGCAGATTACATATGAAGTATCTAATTGAAAAGCCAAATGCTGTAGTTATTTAGCAACTAGAGCAATTTAGAAAAGTGCCAAATTAAATTTAGCAACACTTAAACAGAGAGTACAGTAATTCTGACCAGAGTGTGGTCAGGCCAACAGTTCTGTAAGATTTGAGTTGTATGCCTTATCCAAAAGACTGCAGCTTTGCAAGCAGGCTCTTTCTTGCCACTAAAGTTAATGCAGTACATTATGAAAATGTTATTCCTTAAACCATTAAAAATAGAGGGGTTTTGTTCACGCTGTGTAATAATGATCTCTCATTGTCTTCTTTGCTTCTACAATGGCACTAGAGCAAGAGTACATGTAGATGTACAAGACAGAAAATCATGGAGAAGTCTTTTCTCCCAATTTGCCTGTACACTAATGAGAATTAAGTTCTATTCAGTATATAATTTGTAAATATTCTGTATTTTATCTGGTTTTGAAATTATAATTTACAAATAATAGAAATAGCAATTTAATAAAGTGCAAAAAATAGATGAGGTGTTTAAACACAAAACAAAATGGATACTACTAAACCAAGCTGTAAACTCATGTGGTGTAATGACATCTCATTTAAGCTCATGTAAGTGCAATATTGATTGTGAGATTTTTACAAAATTTGCATTGGTCCCTATAAGCATACTTCTTCTATCTCATTTTTCATATTGGATATGTGTAAACACATGAAAAATAAAATTCCAATGTTGATAGTATAGTATGAACTTTATCTTTTGTATAGGAGTATTGCCAGGTTGGTAAATTATTATCTTGAGTTCTACAACGTGAAGGAAAAAGAGGTGAATGTCAACAGGCTGATTAAAGGTAGACTAATCATGCGGCTTCATGGAATTAAATATACTAATCCGATTCTGAGCTTAGGAGGCAGAAATAGAAAAAAGAAGTGGAGCAAGACTGTGAACAACATTGCTTCCTCTTTTATCTTTAATTTTAATTAGCTAATCTGATTGATTAAGACTTTTCAGACAAACCTGACATTTTGTAAAGCCCTGGTAAGTTATTTTTCTTATCTGTTTTAGCAGTTAAGAGTTGAACAACTAATAGTCCTTTATTACTTCAGTGATTGGAAGGATACATGTATGCAGCGTATCATCGCTGACTGGGGTAGGCAGTACGGAAGTGGGTAAGTCCAAAGGAAGAAAAGAAATTTTAACTTGTTATCCTATTAAGCCTTAGCAAGACAGCCAGCCCATCCTTCATGAGCTTAGAAAAGCAAAGTATTCACAGAGAGTCCATAATAGAAGCATCTGATGAAAATGAATATTGGCTCATAGTAAGTATAAACATCTTTTCTTTTTTCTTTTTTTCTTTTTTTTTTTTTTTTTTAACTTACACCCTGTCAGGTAGTATTCTGTAAATACTAATTGTTGTAACTTATCATAGCTTTTATAAAATACAGGATTTCTGCAGGTTATTTTACGTAGTAAATACAGTTTAAAGAATTTTGATTATAGTTCAGTATATTTCAGATCATTTCCTAAATAGAAGCGATTTTTCAAATAGATTTTTCATTGTGAGTAAATAACAATGTTTTTCTAAATGATAGGGATTTCTAAGATGGATTTTTTGATTCCTAAGACTGTATTTGTCATTTTAACATATAGGGACCTAAAGTGCGTAAGCAATCTAACTTTAGAAGTGAAAGCCTACCTGAGTGAACTTCAATTTGCTATCTGTATTATCCTTCTGCAACTAATGTAGACTATGAGGAATGCTATAACAAAACTACAGAATTATTAATCAAGAATGAATATTACGTATTTTTGAGTAGAGAAGCTTACAAACTCAGTTTGCAGCACATAAATAAGCCTGGATAGTAGGGGTTTTTATTCCTACCATTTCATCATCCTGCATGTTAAACTACCTTTGGTAAAGTACTTTCTTCTTCTCTTTAAGGAGAGAAGCATTCTAATGCTGGAGTTCTCACAGTTGTGTAAAGAAATGTAGAAATTTTCTCAACATACCTGCTAAAACTAAAAAAGTATGAAATACTAAACATCCCATTTTTTGTCATTCTAAACCCAAATTACTCCTAATTTATGCAGTATAAATCACTCTTCTGGAGAAACTGACCCTGGAAACTGCATAGTCAGAAAATATGGTGTCTAAGTTTCCCTATTTTAGATGCTGGAAATCAAATCCCGGAAGCGTGGAGAGGGGTTTTTGCCGTTATTACATTCTATGACAAATTAAAGATTTTTCTCAATTTATATTTTGTAGTCACAGACACTCTCAAAATAAAAAGCTACCTCATTTCCAAAGAAAATTGTTACAGTATGCAACTGTTGTGTAGGTCTTTCTTGCTGAGCTGAGTTTCAAGTGTAATCAAAGATTTTGGATTTACATTATTTCTATTAAGATGGACAAATAATTCTGAAGCTCAAAAAAGTTGAATAATTAGGCTTGACAAAGAATTGTAGTACTTCATTGATAGTAATGTCTTTGACTATAGAAATTATATTTCATTAATGTTCATGTGTTATAGTGAGATTCCTGCTAATCTCATGACCTGTTGCCACATCACATCTGAACGGAATTTCACTTACCTGCTGTCATGTTTGATTCTGACAAAGCATGAATTACATGCCAAAACAGAAACAAAAGTGACTAAAAAGCAAGATAGCATACCAAATATCAGAATGACAAACTCACTGACAAGAAAAGGGCTAATCCAGCTAACATTCAAATTTGCATCTTTTCGTTTGGTCTGTAAAACAGGAGTAGCAGAGGTCCAACAATGGAAACAGAAATGACAATTCATGGGATTTTTTTTTTTTTAAATATATTTCCAGAACTTATGTTGAAGACAAAAT